ATGCAGAATATTTGCTTTATAAGTACTAATAAACAGCCAATATGTTATTAATATGCATGCTAATAAGTAACTAGTTAATAGTGAGAATTGGTCCCTATAATAAAGTGTTACCTAAATTCTTTAAATTATATTTATTTAAAAGACTTTAAATTACTTTTATAAAGGTTATTTATAAATTCTAAAGACAATTGTACATGTTTAGAACAATTATAAAGGCATAATACAATATAATACACTCAAAAAATATTGAGTTATTACATTGTTCTTTATCTGTGCAGAACTGCCTGAGCCGAAATTGTCAATAGAGTCTCAATGGAATATGTTTTACCCAACTGAGAGAGTGACTCTGAAGTGTTCAGTTGATGAAGAGTCAAATGATTGGGGCCATGAATGGTTTAAAAACAGAGGTTTGCTTAAAGAGGATGAGGACATTTCCTTTCCTGGAAACACACTCTCCATCAGCTCAGCAAAAGCGGGTCATTCAGGAGAGTACACCTGCAGAGGAAAACATCTGATGAGAACATCGGTGACTACAAGAGAAACTGAAGCTGTGCAACTTCGTATTAAAGGCAAGGAAAACTGCTTTTGAAAACATGATATTCTATGATTGATACATAGGAAAGAAATTATGAGAGGCACCTTAAAGTTCAGTTTAATGAAGAAGTTGTTTATAGTTTATAATGTGTTTTCATTTGCAATGTCCTGTACCAGTGTACAGTGGTTCATTTCAGCATTTGCAGTTCCCTTTCAGTCAGTCACATTCGACGTTACGTCAGAACGACTGATAAATTGGGATCTCGCTCGAGAGCCCAATCACCTTTGAGTGTAACAAAACAAGCCACTAAATATTGGCGTGAGAGCTTTGCATCGTGCACCCCGCCCCGCACAGTGGGTATATAAGGAAGAGCGTGTGCAATAGCACATTCAATTTTCGCTTCAGAGCCGAGCCTTTCTGCTTGGGAATCACAGAAGAGTGTTTACAGACAGCTTTCTGTGTTGGTGTTACGGCGCATCAGCGGAGGTTTGCCGGTCCATTGCTGCTCCATTTTCTTCCGAGTTTGGACAGTGTGCTGCAGTTTTCTTAATCTGTGGTCGTGCTGCAACCTCCCCTGTGCGCTTCAGCACTTATATTTCTAAAAGAGCATTTCTAAAAGAGCTCCACGGATGACGCAGCATCTTTTTAAAGATGGCTTTCCACCCGTGTGTTTCTGGATGCGGTCGTTTTCTGGTTCTATCTGATGGTCACGATCGCTGCATCATGTGCCTGGTCTTAAAGCACACTGAGGCAGTGTTCGTGGATGACTCATGTTCCCGTTGCGGGGACATGACCATTGCAGTGTTGCGGTCGAGACTCCTCTACATAAAATGTGGGGGAGTCCCCCTTGCTATGCCCTGTTCTAGTTCCTCCACCTCAAAGCGGAGGAGAACTTATTCGTTGTGTGGTCAGGGTAGCCTGAGCATTACAGTGGGGACTTCCCCGCCGAGCACGTCTCCGTGGGCCCCTTGCTTCTCCAGCACATCGCAACCCGTGGAGTTCTGTGATGAGCCTACTGGTCCTAGGGGACCTAGCGTCTCATTCGGGGCTCCAGCGGAGGACAGGATGTCGATCACTGCATAGGGGGATGAGCTAGGTTCTGGGGAGGAAGACCCAGCTGCATTGCCCCTCTTGGGGAAAGTAGCGTTGCCTGAGTCAGACCCAGAGCTGACTGCTATGCTTTCCCGGGCTGCCGAGAGTATCGGGTTGTAATGGAAGCCCCCTCCATCGCCTGAATGATCCAGGCTGGATGATTGGTTCCTGGGGGTGCCTCAATCCGATCCTTGGCGCGCACCCCGTGTCCCATTCTTCCCAGAGGTGCATGAAGAGGTTACTAGATCTTGGAGGGTACCTTTTTCTGCCCGAAACAGAGCTAGTGCCTCTTTCATCCTCACTACCCTCGATGGCGGGGTGGCTAAGTGGTATGTGGAGATCCCCCCAGTTGAGCGCACTGTTGCACTGCAGCTCTGCCCACAAAGCGCTGTTGCCTGGCGGGGTAATCCACGCCTCCCGTCCAGGGCCTGTAAGTTCTCATCCGCACTAACTGCACCCCATTGCCCTCCTGCAGGTCTACGAGGCCAAGGCATTGAAGCAGCTGCACGAGGGTAGTTCGGACCCAGGCGTTATGCAGGAGCTGCGTACGGTGATGGACCTTGCCCTACGGGCAATGAAAGTCACTGCACGGTCCCTGGGTCAGACGATGTCCACCTTGGTGGTCCAGGAACGCCACATTTGGCTTAACCTGGCGGATATGAGGGAGTCCAACAAATATAGATTCCTCGACTCCCCATTCTCCCAGGTTGGCCTGTTCTGTGACGCGGTGGAGAACTTTGCCCAGCAGTTCTCCCCGGCACAGAAGCAGAAAGAGGCTATTAAGCACATCCTGCCCCGGCAGCCCACTGCTGTTTTCACCACACCGCCGGCCGCAGCCCCTACGCCTGCTCATCGACGAGGGCGCCCCCTGCTGCCTCTACTTCCGCTCCAGCTTGGCCTCAGCAGCAGCCTTTCCTGGCGGCAGGAAAGCAGCGGAGCCCATCTCTGCCCCTGCCAGACCCGTAATGCCTAGTTCACACAACAGGATTTTAAGCCCGATTTAGCAAGTTAGCAAGCTCGTCGACAGGTCGGGCTGTGATCAGGGGAAAATTAGCGCTCGGCAATCTTTATGTGTGAACTACCATTCAACTTCTCGCGTGTGTTTTCATGACAAAACATGGTTTTGGGACAGGATAGAGTCATTGGGTGACAGAGCTGTTGTCAACTCGTGTAGTGTGTGACCCCCTGTTATGGATCATTTACGTAGTGTCGCATTGTGTGAACACCACAATGACTTCAAGACAGACAGCAAGTCAGGTAGTCTGAACAGCATAGCGATCTTCCGACGTTTTAAGTCGTGTAGTGTGAACAAGGCTTAAAGCGTCTGAACAAGCGGCGCTCCTGAGACGGGGGACCCGGAGACTCTGGATTGTGCTCTTTAGGAGATGGTGACTGCACCACTCCTTCCCCCGGAGGAGGGCCGGGTGGAAAATACTTGGTTCCATTTTTGTCCATTTTTGCTCCCCAGCCAGTGGTACACAAGCTTTCAATAAAAGAACGGTTTCCTTTATCTCCGGGTCCCAAGAGGCAGAGGTTGGCAGTGTACGACGCGTTGCCTCGACACTCTCATCCCCCTCCCCCTTCACCAGTGGGCAGCAGGGTGCAGCTCGAGGACGCTTTTCCTTCTCAAGTGCCCTCTGCCCAACCATGAAGCCAGGTAAGTGTTGCACCACATGCTCAGACCCCACTCCGCTGCGATGCTATGCCTTCCGGGTTGGGTCCCTATGCTCCACCTCGCTGCCTCACTGCAGGTACATCTGTGGTTCCTCTGGTCCCACTTACACAGTTTCTGGGGGCCTGGCCAGCACTCCCCAGGCCGTCTCGCTGGCTCACGAGGACCATCAGACTAGGCAATGCGATTCAATTCGCCCCGCGTCCCCTCCAAGTTCAGGGGCATTCAGTTCACCTCTGTGCTGGACAAAGATGCTAGCGAAGGACACAATAGAGCCGGTCCCTCCAGCCGATATGAAGTCAGGGTTTTACAGCCCGTACTTAATCATACCCAAGAAAGGCGGTGGGTTACGACCAATCCTGGACCTGCACGTCCTGAATCGGGCCCTTCACAAGCTCCCGTTCAGGATGTTAACGCAGAAATGCATTTTCCAATGCATTCGTCCTCACGATTGGTTTGCAGTGATCGACCTGAAGGATGCATACTTTCATGTCTCAATTCTCCCTCAGCACAGGCCGTTTCTCCGCTTTGCGTTCGAGGGACAGGCATATCAGTACAAGTTCCTCCCCTTCGGGCTGTCCCTGTCGCCTCGTGTCTTCAGGAAAGTTGTGGAGGCAGCCCTTGTTCCTCTAAGGGAAAGAGGCGTTCACATTCTCAACTACGTTGACGACTGGCTCATATTGGCTCAGTCACGAGGGCAGTTGTGTGAACACAGGGACATGGTACTCAGTCACCTCAGCCATCTGGGGCTTCGGGTCAACTGGGAAAAGAGCAAACTCTCCACTGTGCAGAGGATCTCATTTCTCGGTATGGAGTTGGATTCGGTCAACCTAAAAGCATGTCTCTCAGCCGAGCATGCCCAGTCGATGTTAAACTGCCTGGATTCATTCAAAGGCAGGAAGACGGTCCCACTGAAACAGTTTCAGAGGCTCCTGGGGCACCCGCCGCTCGGTTTGCTTCATACGAGACCACTCCAGCGTTGGCTTCACAACTGAGTCCCAAGATGGGCATGGCAACGCGGCTCGCACAGGGTCTCACTCAGCCCGTCTTGCCACCAAACCTTCAGCCTTTGGTCGGACCTTGCTTTTCTACGGACAGGAGTTCCCCTAGTACAAGTGTCCAGGCATGTTGTTGTCTCAACAGATGCCTCTGCCACAGGTTGGGGTGCCATGTGCAACAGGCATGCAGCATCGGGGTCCTGGACAGGACCTCGACTGCAGTGGCACATCAATTGCCTCGAGTTGCTAACAGTATGGCTTCAAATTGCTGCTACATGACAAGCATGTATTGGTCCATACGGACAACACTGTGACTATTGCCTACCTCAACCATCGAGGAGGTCTACGCTCCCGTCGCATGTCGCAACTTGCCCGCCATCTCCTCCTTTGGAGTCAGAAGCATCTGAGGTCACTTTGTGCTGTTCACATCCCAGGCGAGCTCAATCGCGCAGCCGACGAGCACTCACGACAGCCCGCACTTCCAGGGGAATGGCGACTCCACCCCGAGACAGTCCAGCTGATTTGGAGATGCATCAGGGACGCACAGGTAGACGTGTTCTCCAAGTCTGGCCATACTGGCCCAACCGGACCTGGTTTCCAGAACTGATGCTCCTCGTGACAGCCCCTCCTTGGCGAATTCCTCTGAGGAGGGATCTCCTTTCTCAGAGAGGGGGCACCCGCGCCCAGACCTCTGGAATCTCCACGTATGGTCGCTGGACGGGATGTGGAGGTTCTAGGTGATCTATCTCCAGCAGTGGTAAACACTATCACTTCAGCGAGAGTGCCGTCTACGGCCTTGAAAGAGAAGCCCTTTGAGTCTCTGCAGTCAGTGGAGCTTAAGTTCCTGCCTCTGAAGACAGTGCACTGGCTTCTGTTAAGAGGGATATTGGAGGCAATAGTCTTGGCCTACCAGGCCCAACGTCTGCCATGCCCCCTGGGGGTGAGTCCCTCAATAGCAGACATCTGTAGAGCTGTGGGCTGGGCGACACCTAACATGTTTGCAAGATTTTATAATCTCCGTGTAGAACCTGTGTCCTCTCGTGTACTCGCCGCAGATGGCCGGTAAACACCGGGACCTGCTCAGTGTCTATCACGCTTGCTGTGCCATTCCCCTCTACGGACCGGATATGTGCTTAATTACTTCACAGGCAAGTTCCCCTCATGTGAACCCTGTTTGGAGTTCCTCCAGCACCCTCGGTGGTCAGGTGTGGCGGAGCGCCGGACGACAAGTCCAGCACTCATGTGTTTGCCCAAGGTTAGCCCCTGTGCTGGGCTAGGTGCCCATGTGTTGTGATTCCCCCTAGAGGTGATCCCACATGTGTATTCTTCCATGATACGGCTATCCTTGTGGTAAGCCTGTGTCTTTCGCTGGCAGAGTTGCTCTGCCGTCTCTGCTCGGTATTGACCTCACCCAAATAGGCTGAGTTTATGGCAGGGACTTTCCATATGTAGCACTGACTTGTTGGCCCGTCCATATGTGTAATCTCCACATAATACCTCCTAAGTGCAGGATGTGGCTTCCGTAGCATTCCCTTACTCAGGTACGCTTTCCCAGTGTTATCCAATATCCCACTGTAAGGAACAGCAGTGTCGGTCCCCTCTGCCTAAGCCCTGTCCTGTCTTCCGTCCCAGCCAGTGTGGGAGGATTTGCCGGCTTACGCAGGGCACTGGAGAGGGGGCAGCAATGGTGGCGTTGGTTTCGTCAGTCGTTCTGACGTAACGTCGAACGTGACTTACTGAAAGGGAACGTACGTAACCCTCGTTCCCTGAAGAAGGGAACGGAGACGTTATGTCCCGTCGCCACAATTGCTGTACCACCACTGAATGGCTGGGGCACACCGTCTCGGCTCCTCAGCGAAAATCTGAATGTGTGATTGCACGCGCTCTTCCATATATACCCGCTGTGTGGGGTGGGGTGCACGATGCAAAGCTTGCACGCCAACATTTATTGATTTGTTTTGTTACACTCGAAGGTGATTGGGCTCTCAAGCGAGATCCCAATTAGTCAGTCGTTCTGACCTAACGTCTCCGTTCCCTCCTTCAGGGAACGAGGGTTACATACGTAACCGAGACATTTCCTGCCTACTCTTGACAACAGCTTTCAGAGGGCAGACACTATTACCAGCAACCAAATAGCATTTCAATGGAAAACATTTTTTTACCCAAGTGGAAAAAAAAGAGAGTGAAAAGTGCTATTGATGGATAGTCAAATAAATGGGACTATGAATGGTTTCAAAACAATCTCAGCTTCCCAAGGATGAGGGCATTTCCTTTCTTGGAAATCCTCTCAACAAAAGCGAGTCATTCAGGACAGTATACATGCAGAGTAAAACATCTGAATGAAAATCTGAAAGAAATTAACAAGAGTTCAGATAGTCACAGCCCAGGTGTCTTGGAGAGGTCAATGAAGATATCGTTTTGTGCTTTCCATACACTCAAAAGATTATTTCAGCCTATTTTGAAGATTTATGTATTTTAATAAAATGTTCATACATTTGCATTATAGAGTTTTAACATAAACTAACAAACTTAATGTGATGTATATTTGTTAGTCGCACATAAATTAAATAAGAAATGAGATTTATGAAATAATACTAATACATCAAAAGTGTTTTAAATACAGAATAACCAGGTTTATATATTTATCATCAATGAATCCAATTTATTACATGTAAACCATTCAACAAAGCATATATATTTTAAATAATGAATCATGCTAGTTCCAAAGCTAACCATATTTAACCATGCTTATACTATTTTCTTTTTCAAAACTAACATATTTATGCCATTTTTAAAGAATTTTAAGAAATACATCTTGAAAATATAATTATGTAAAAAAAAATCAAATAGATGCAAATAGTTAATGAACTATGTCATGATTTATGTTCTTGAGTGTGGACTGGTTTAGTTTCTTTACTGTTGCACTGACGTTTGTATAATAGAGTGGAAAGTGTCAGTGTGTTTGTATAATAGAGTGGAAAGTGTCAGTGTGTAGTGGAAAGTGTCAGCTTTCTGGTTATGTTGAAAAGGATTGTCATTGGGCAACTCAGTTCATTTAGCGGCAGATTACCTTGAACAACAAGCACCTGCAAATCATGACAGTTTTTGTTTGAAGGTGGTCCATTGTTTCTAATTTTACCTCTCTTGCTCCTAGGCATCACACCAAAACCAACCATTACAAAACATGAATGGTTTGAGTTGTTCTACACTGAAGAGAAAGTCCAGCTTGATTGTAACATGCCAGGAATAGGTTGGGAATACCACTGGCATAAAGACTCAAATCCTCTGATCACAAATCCAACTCACACTATTGACGCAGTATCTCTGACTGACAGTGGTAACTATCACTGCAAAGCACAGAGAGGAGACTTCTCAGTGGACAGTGAGACTTTACAAGTGCGAGTTCAAGGTGAGTTAGACTCTTGTGTCCATATAAACTACCTCTGCGACCATTTCATTTATAGGATATAACCATGGCAGTGCACTCAGTGAGTTTAAAATGATAACTTGACATGTTTAAGGGACAGTTCACCCAAAATAACATGACAGTTCTTTCATCATTTCACACTCATGTCATGTTGTTTCCGACATGTATGACTTTCCTCTTCTGTGGAACACAAAAGATATTTTGATATTAATTAAAAATGCACTCATTATTGTCCATACTAAAGTCATTGGGGTCTAATGTTGTTTTGAACCCCATTGACTTTCAGAATGTCTTTATTAAAGGTAGGGTAGGCGACAGGTGATTTCGGAAGGCTAGCAATAACAAGCTAGCTCTGAAAGCATAAGATCCCACCCTGCCTGCAAATCACTCTCCAAAGCCACGCCTCCTCCATAACGCATGAACGCTCACAGAAAAAGCTTTTTCCCCCTAATTATGACTTTTAAATTTGAATATAACTAGAATATTGTTAATAATATTTAAGAATACAATTTAGTTTTTCAGCCATTTTGACAGCCTTAATTTTTGCTTTTTAAGAGGAAATAATTGAAGGCCAAACATTTGGATAACAATTTAAAACTATGTCAGTGGGCAGTATATTATTTGTCAATACCGGCTTTCTGCTTTGATTGATAGTGTTTTCATCTTTTCATCAAAGATGATCATTTTCATCTTTGTCAATGAACAAAGTAAACAAATGGTCGATTGATATTTATATGTTTTATGCGGGCCAGCTCCAGGCATGGGCAGGGGTGGGCTGAGCCCACCCAAATGTCTGTCTTGCCCACCCAATCAAAACTATAGGTAAAGATTGCGTTAATCCTTTTATGCAGTGATTAAAAGCAATCTGAAGCGGACTGTATTTTGAGATGTTTAAGAGCCCCAACAATCATAATATAACATTAGAAATGGCATAATTTTTCTTTTATTAGCTGAAAGCAAAGGCGTGCTATATTCACGCGGAGGCTTCAGTCTGTTGCGGAAAAGCAGAGGCTGACAACGAGCAAAAATGGGCAGAAATATTTGCGCGCTATCAGTGTGTACGGGAGTTTAATACATATCTACATGAATATGTGCCTTAGGCCACTGAAATTACCTGAGCAGTTGAATTATTTTTCTAGAAAACCTCGCTCATTCAATAACGTGCATTTACTGCATGGACGGGTCAAGAAGTATAAGCGTTTCAAAATGCATGTATACAGTTCAGTTGAAAGCTTACCCATTTTGAATGTGACGACAATAGCATTTTTCTGTTTTGCATTTTCATCATATTAGGAATACAAATAAAATTGAATGGTGCATATTTTAAAATAAAAATATTATTTGCAGTTCAGATTGATTGCTTTGCAAAAAATCTTATTCTTGTTATTTTACTGTTCTTTTTTCTTATTTTAATTTATTCCCCTAAATCAGTTTAAATCCTATATTTATTTAGTTCCTTTAAATAAATACCAGTACCATAGAGGTCTGGTCTTTATTTTCCTCAAAACAATTGGTCCCCCCAGTGTTCTAGAGTAGACATTATTACGGCCTTGTTTGGTATAAATAAAAAAAACTTGGTTAAAAGAATCAGCAGTGTAGAAACAATGATCCAGAGACAGAGAACAAAGAGGGCAGTTTTTTACTATTCAGTAAAGAAAAAAAGTTTATTTTGTTGCGAAAGTTAATGATATTCTATGGTTTGCTATAGGCTGCCCACGAAAGCATGATATTGCTCTTTTTTCAGTGTACATATATCAACAACACTGCAATAAGTTGCATAGTTAAAATAGCAATATCTACAGTCTAAATTTCTAGACTGTATCCCTCCCCCTCCCCTGTATCCCGCCCACCCTTCTATAGCGCTTAAGAACCGGGCCTGGTTTTATGAATCATTTTATTAAACAAGTTACTTTACTGAAGGCTACCAGGAAAGCTACATAATTAAGTTGAATAAATTCACAATATGTGCCCGTTCATTATTAATCATATGCCTAATATATGCTGAAAATGGCTTCGTTAATATTGTTTCTTTTTCCTTCACATTGACAGTTACGAATCACATTACATGAATCATGTCAATTCAAAATGGCGAAATTAAAAAAGTTTTTTTTTTAGTTTGCTTCCCGGATTATTTTTGTCAGTCATTTAAAATTTCTATCGTAAAACAGCTGTCAGATATGAAATGTTTGGCTACGTACATCGCGCACTTTATAGCCACTAACTGAAGTGTCGCTTTGAAATTTGCGCTATGCAGCTTCTGTGAACATAAAGCCCTACTTTGATTTGATTGGTCATCTCAAATATTTTTTGACATTGACGAGGTTTAAGTTTAATCTTGGTGCTGTGCAATATCTTTGCAACACGAAGGAAGAGTTAATACTATATTAGGCAATTATTTCACAAAGTAGCTACACCTTGACCTCATAGCTGGCTACGGGCATGCTCACAAGCAGTTGAATGTAACGCTGTCAGTTTACCTCATGTCTCATTCACCGTTGAGAAAACATTACAGTACAAAGCACAGACTATTAAAATAATAACGCCTTCCGTTATTGCTCAGTTTGCAATACCATAATGGAACCCACTGATGACGTATCATGTCTGCATGAACAGGGAGGTAGAACAGCCAATCGTAGCCCTCGGACCGAGGGATATGATTGGACAAACATTTTTTGCTCCTACGCCTTCCACAGACAATATAAATACATATAAAAAAAATGTATACCACTTAGTAACTTAGTGATTGCTATCGGGATGTGAAGAGACTTTCAACCATGATAAAAATAAAAAATAAAGTTTTTCAACCAAATCACCTACCGTGCCTTTAATGCTCCACAAAAGAAAGAAAGTCATACAGATTTGGAACGGCATGAGGATGGGTAAATTAAGACAGAATCACTTTAAAAGGAAAAGCACTAAGGGCTATCCTGATTAAATGGCTCAATATATAATGTATTTTATTTTAAAAAAAATGATAAAGTAACATATTACTTTGCACTAAGCTCATCCACCTGCATTTCTGAGTCTGGAGACTGAACTGAGCGACATCATGACAGGGGATATGACTCTCCGGTGTAACGTCTCAGACGGCAGACAGTGGAACTACACCTGGTACATGAACGGACAGCAGCTCAATGGATCCTCGGATGTACTCAAAGTGACAGGAAATGAAGAAACAATCAAAAGTGAATTCAAGTGCAAGGGCATAAACACAGAGAGACCGCTGTACTCCGCTCTGAGTGACGGCTTCATAGCCAATAATATTTGTGAGTAATGGGAATATTTATTATTAAACCTGTTTCATACAGTGTATAGATGTGAATAACTTGTGCATTAGAACAATGTCGGAATGTTTTCAAGATTTTTAAAAAAATATATATATTTTTTTAGTATATAGATTTTATTTTCAGTGAGATTATACATATTCAAGTACATTATCGACAAAACAGACAAAAAAACTTTTTACCATAAAACTCGTATTTCTATATAATATATTATACAATGTTTGGAGGAAATGTTGATTTAACTCACTTTAACAAAATGTGTGCATTTCCATCATTATTACAGTATTTAAAAGAAAAATACTGCTGGCCATCTCAGGATGTCTCGTCTGTTGTATTGTAATCCTGAAGGGTACTGATTCAAAGGCCCACTATGAAATATATTTTATTTAAAAATGATAAAGTAACATATTACTTTGCACTAAGCTCATCCACCTGCATTTCTGAGTCTGGAGACTGAACTGAGCGACATCATGACAGGGGATATGACTCTCCGGTGTAACGTCTCAGACGGCAGACAGTGGAACTACACCTGGTACATGAACGGACAGCAGCTCAATGGATCCTCGGATGTACTCAAAGTGACAGGAAATGAAGAAACAATCAAAAGTGAATTCAAGTGCAAGGGCATAAACACAGAGAGACCGCTGTACTCCGCTCTGAGTGACGGCTTCATAGCCAATAATATTTGTGAGTAATGGGAATATTTATTATTAAACCTGTTTCATACAGTGTATAGATGTGAATAACTTGTGCATTAGAACAATGTCGGAATGTTTTCAAGATTTTTAAAAAAAAATATATATTTTTTTAGTATATAGATTTTATTTTCAGTGAGATTATACATATTCAAGTACATTATCGACAAAACAGACAAAAAAACTTTTTACCATAAAACTCATATTTCTATATAATATATTATACAATGTTTGGAGGAAATGTTGATTTAACTCACTTTAACTAAATGTGTGCATTTCCATCATTATTACAGTATTTAAAAGAAAAATACTGCTGGCCATCTCAGGATGTCTCGTCTGTTGTATTGTAATCCTGATCGTTGGATGCATCGTTCTAAAAATCACCCGTAAACCAGGTACAATCAGCAATTAATACATATACTTCTGAAATGAAGCTTCTTTATGCTGCTGGTCTTGCATGCAGTGTTATTCATACCAAGCACCAGCCTTGTGTCACCCATTGCTCAGACTACAAATACTGTAGTACCACTTCTGTGTACACTTAGTTTGGATCTCTCGATATATGCACGTTAGTGTAAACAGGGTTTTATTTACTGATATTTACTTTTGGTCTAAACAGTGTCTACTATAATGTACACTCAGTGTAAACACCATTTACACTCTAGTAAATGTAAATAGCTGCTTGCCTTAAAATTTAAAACTGCTTTTTTTAAACACTTCACCCTTTGACGTAGATTCAGACATCTTGAATTTGTTGTCTACCATTCAAAAGTCTCTAATACTCACCCAGGCTGCATTTATTTGATCAAAAATATTTTAAAATATCATTACAATTTAAAACTACTTTTTCCATTGTAATATATTCTAAAATGTAATTTATTCCTGTGGTCAAAGCTGACATGCAGTGTTATTCATACCAAGCACCAGCCTTGTGTCACCCATTGCTCAGACTACAAATACTGTAGTACCACTTCTGTGTACACTTAGTTTGGATCTCTCTATATATGTACGTTAGTGTAAACAGGGTTTTATTTACTGATATTTACTTTTGGTCTAAACAGTGTCTACTATAATGTACACTCAGTGTAAACACCATTTACACTCTAGTAAATGTAAATAGCTGCTTGCCTTAAAATTTAAAACTGCTTTTTTTAAACACTTCACCCTTTGACGTAGATTCAGACATCTTGAATTTGTTGTCTACCATTCAAAAGTCTCTAATACTCACCCAGGCTACATTTATTTGATCAAAAATACAGTGAATTAGTAATATTTTAAAATATCATTACAATTTAAAACTACTTTTTCCATTGTAATATATTTTAAAATGTAATTTATTCCTGTGGTCAAAGCTGAATTTTCAGCATCATTACTCAGTGTCCAGCATGGTTCAGTGTCACATGATCTTTCAGAAATCATTCTAATATGCTGATTTGCTGCTCAAGAAACATTTATCATTATTATCAATGTAGAAAACAGCTGTGCTGCTTAAATGTTTGTGGAAATTGTTATACATGTTTAAGGATTATTTGATTACGAGAAAGTTCAAAAGAACAGCATTTATTTGAAATAGAAATCTTTGTAACATTTGATAAAAGTCTTTACAGTCACTTTTAATAAATTTAGTGCAAGTCTTTGTGACCCCAAACTTCAGTCATGTAACAAAAACACAATGACACATAAAGAGCTCAATCATATAGAGTTATTATTGTTGTGATTGTCTAACATGACCACATTTTACACTCAGCATTATCTTGTCTGTTTTGGATTACATTTTATATGTAATTACTCCTTACAAAAATGTTAATTTCTTATCATCAGAGGTAAAAGAAACCGCACCAGAGGATTTATTTTTCTCAATGACAGACTCCAAGAACCGTAAGTTTTGCTCTTTGTGTGTGTGTGTGTGTGTGTGTGTGTGTGTTTGTGTGTGTGTGTGTGTGTGTGTGTGTGTGTGTTCTGATATATATGGTTTATGAGGACACAAATGTGTATAATGGCACTTCCTGTGTCCCCATAAACCAAAAGGCTTAAACATACTAAATGGTGTTTTAAATTGCCAGTAGTTTTCTGTGAGGGGTAGGTTTAGGTGAAGGGTTGGTGTAATGTGTGTGTGTGTGTGTGTGTGTGTGTAGAGGTTCTCTATAAATTTATATGGGTCTTTGATTACTCTGCAGAAACTATTTCACCCATGAAGGAGTACATGGACAACATACCAACAGAGCTGGAGGGTATGTGCTTTTACTGACATTACAATCAAATGATTTACCAATGTACTATTTCCCAAACGTTATACTTTGTAAAAATATTAAGTGACTCAAAGTGAACATGTTTTTACTTGTGTTACAAGCCAAAGGTATGATTTTGTATTATTAAACTACTGTAAATGTAATTGCCACACTGTGTTATTACTCAGAATGTCAGGAAAAAGCAGAACTGATCTCTGACTGTGCTTCATCTTTTGATCTTTCTATTCATCAAAGAATCCTGAAAAAAAATTACCCAACTGTTTTAAATTTTGATAATAATAATAAGAATAAATGTTTCTTGAACAACAAATCAGCATATTAAAATGATTTCTGAATGATCATGTGACACTGAAGACTGGAGTAATGATGCTGAAAATTTAGCTTTGATCACAGGAATAAATGACATTTTAATATATATTTAAATAGAAAGCAGTTGTTTTAAATAGTAAAAAAAA